ATAATAATAATAAAAATTAATTTATTGCCCCTTCACCACCAGAAAATTAATGTAGTAGTACCATACATTTTTAAACACATTTTTCTATAAACGATTTACACTAGGCACTTGATAGTGTGGACTAAAAGAAGCAAGAGCTATTCACATCATCGATTTGATCACGTTAATGGTAATTTATTATATAATAAACATCTATAATTAACAAAAGAAGCCTACATAAAAATGTTACATTAATACATTCTGATTAAAAAATAACAGGTATATAAAACAGTAATGAAATTTCATTTTTTGCCAGTGAAATCACAATAAATTATGTACTTTTTAAAAGTGAATAATTCTTTAATAAAGCAGCTTCTCACAAGGTAATACAACCGGGGTGGAGGTGGGTGGTACGTACCAAAATGCCAGTTTTTAAGACCAATAGAAGTTCATTTATATAAGCAAAAGCTATGTATGTGACCTAACATAATTAATATATTATTCATATTATATGGGGTTTTAGTTTTTCGATGATCACACTACAGAGTGTCTACTGTATAAAGATTTATTACTGCTTTCTATGCATATATAGCATTTAAATAAGTAAAATATTTTAAGAAATCACATTAACTGTGTTATACCTTTGATAGATCCAGCAATAATAACAAATAGTACTACACCAATATTTAAAGATGTGACTATATTGTTTATAATACTGCTTTCTCTTAAACCAAATGCCAGGGCAACTAAAATGTAATGAAAATAATATCTATTAAACACATTAGTTTCTTTCAAAAATACATTGTCATACCTGCTAAGAATACTGATAAACCAAAAGCAAAAAAATCAAAATAAGATGACATGTAGTTAACATTGATAGGTGTAATTTCTCTAAAACAGTCCTGCATTGTATTATTTATTAAAGTGTCCAAATAAACACTCAAACCCCTGGCTACACTGGCAGATCCTGCAATTAACGTATAAAAACAAATAATCACGTTAGGTAAGATCATTTTATATTATACCTATAACATATTCTAAAATGAGGTTCCATCCTATAATAAAAGCAACCAGTTCTCCAATGGACACATAACTATAAATGTAAGCTGAACCAGCTTTTGGTGTTCTTGCTCCAAATTCTGCATAACACAAGCCTAGGGCAATAATTTTTTTTGACTTAATTACTAATACTCTTCCATTATTATAATAAAATAATAAGCACATTATTTTAATTAGTAACTTTGCAAAAAAATAAATGTCTGATAAAGAATCTAATTGTGTCTATTAATGACTGACCTGCAAACACTGATGCTATAGCTGCAATAAAGAATGACAAAACAACAGAAGGTCCTGCAGTATCTCGTGCAACATGACCAGCCAAAACATAAACTCCTACACCTAAAGTACTTCCAACACCAAGTGCAGTAAGATCAAAAGTATTCAAAACCCTTGCAAGTTGTGTTTGCTCTGTTTGGTTTGGATCTAACACTTTTTTTCTGGTTATAGCTCTCCAACAGCTTGACATATTGTTCTTTATATTTTGTTCACTATTTTCTAAAGCATTTGCCCAATCGTTTCTACAATAAATGGTATACTTCTTAATATGTATGTCATTTATAAGTTTATAATACTTCACTTAATTATAGCTATGTAAATCTGGCACATTATATAAATTTCTTATTGTAAAATGAGATAAGATAAACTGTGAGAAAACAATACAAAGATAAGAATGTTGATCTCATTACTTCTTATGAATTTTACCAAGTACCTAAATGAAATGTGACCAGCTTACTTGAATATATATCCAACAATTCCAAATAAGCAAATGTGAAAACAAATATATTACTTACCAAAGTAACAATGCAACTATCGCATATTAGAACTATAATCAAAAATATGATTAAATAATTATTAAGCGATGATAACACTTTCTAATATCTAATAAACACTATAAACAAATCACTGCAATATTTAACTGAACTTGCTAAAACCTTTGTCATAAAATAACTCGTAATATTTCACATCCTTTGAAATTGACTGTCTACAAAGTAGATAACACAAAACACAAGATAAGGTTTGCAGAAACAAAATACTTTTGATTTCATTTACATTCTCGTTTGATAATTACAATAAACTTATTGAAATAAACTCAACAATATTGCAAATTGTAACCTGTAAGTTGAAGTGTTTGGCAATCACCTGTGTCTATGTAAATATTTTTTCGTTATATGGTTATAAAGCAGTGTTACACACCGCCATAGATAACCCCACCGCAACCCTTTTGTAGTTATAGGAATCACTACATGTTATGACGTTATGACATCATTTATGCATCATTTCGTCCGAGAAAGTAATTAGAAATATAAAACAGTTCTTCAAACAATTATCAAAGAAATAAAATAAAAGATTGGACGGGAGTTGTTAAGGGGTGGAGGTGAGGATTTAGAAAATTTAGTTCGTCAGGTCTTAATGCCTTCGACTAAATATACATAAATATATCTTGAATTGAAAAAACGAAAGTGGGGCGTTAAGGTAATATTAAGTGCTTTGCTTAGTTTTTTAATGATTTTTTAAGAAGCAAAATTAAAAAGGGAAATAATTTAGAATGACTGATCCAAAGTATGCTGATCTCCCTGGTATTGCTCGTGGGGAACCAGACGTCTATGAAACTAAGGATCTCCCAGAATCAGATCAAACTTCTGACTTTTATGAAGAAGAAAATGATTCTATAGAACGTATACACATTTCTGCTACTGAAGCATTTAATAAATTCAAAGGCAAAAACTTAAGTGCTGGTAAAGTTGATTTTTCTGAACGTATAAGTCGACGAATTAGAACTGGGTATGATGCTGCAATTGGAGAATGGGAGATTGTCGGCCAAGGTGAAAAGGAAACACCACTTCAAAAATATCAACGCTTACAATGTGAACTGACTGAATTATTGGAAGAAATTAATAAAATGCATAATGAGAAAAAAGATGAAACTTCCAACTGTTTAGTGTCTGTTGAAGAAATTCAGCAGACACTAATGAAATTAGCTGATTTACAATTAGAAGAAAGCTTGGGACAAGAAGTTATTTCCAGTATATCTGATCCTCAGGGTGTGCAACTTAAGTAAGTTTACAGAAAAGCGCAATATTTAAATACAGCTTATTTTTAACTCTTTAAGGAAACTTATGTCTCAGTTGGAGCAGTTTAAAGCGAAAGCCAATGAGCAACCGGAGTCAGAAGGTCACCTAGATGATGCTATTATTTATCAGTTCAACTATAGACCTGACCAGGCCAGACTCGCTCAGACAGCACGAGTTGCAGAATTAGAAACACGTATACATCGTTTAGAGGGTGTTTTAGGAGGCAGTGATGAAAAATTGGGGAGGCTTTCAGCAGCTACATCTAAAGGTAAATATTTGCTGTTATGATTTCCATAAATGTATATAATTAACAACAAATTTTATACTTTAGTTAGTGATAATTTCTTATTATTTAAGGTACTTTATTAGAGACAGCTCAGTATTTAAGTGCAACTGCAAGTATGTTGGATTCAGCTCAACTGGATCATATTGAGGGTCGCTTAACAGCTTTGGTTCAAAAACTGGATATGATAGCAGAAAAGAAAGCAAAAATAAGTGAGGATGTAGAGAAAGACAAAATGGTATTAATTTCATTAGAGTTTTTATTCCAATATTTTATGTTCCTTATGTTTTTTTTAGATTTTGGAACTTTATGAGCTTGTTAAAAATACCGAAAATGTATCTAAAATTCTGCCAAATACCATTGAAAGGTTGAAATCTCTAGAAGCAATGCACAAAAAATGTATGTTAACTTTCAAAATAATTACTTAGATTTACAATTATTACTTTTTAGCTGGAGACTTTATAAAAAGCCTAATTCAGGTAGAAGCACTACAGTCTGAAGTTCAGAGCAATGTCAGAAACAATAAAGCACTTCTCAAAGGTGTTCAAGAAAGCTTTGCTCTAAATCTTGAAGAAATAAATAAAACTATTCAGAATCTTGATAGCAGAATTAAAAGCATTAGTAAAAAATAAACAGTAATAATTTTAAGTAGAAGTTTTAAGAGTATTAAAAGTAAATTAATGTTATATGCATGTTTTACTGATGTTTATTGCTTTTTATTATTTCATCGCCTTGTTTTTTTTGTAACAAATACACTATCAATAAAAATATTCCACATTATTTATGAACTTCAAATAAATAAATAAAAAAATGGAAAAATGGGACATATAAATGTAGATAAGTTTTCCTAAGTATTAGTGCTATGAAGTTTTTGAAATACAGTAGGATTTGTGGCACACCCAGGGCACGTGTGTAAGGTATCATGTATAAATATATCACAATCTAGACAGAAAAATTTACTACAACTTGGGCACAAATAAATCTGAAAAAAGTACCTAAGTATATAAAATTAAAACAAATAAGAAGACATGTTCTTACATGCTTTTCTATATCAGTGAATTGTTTCTGGCAACCAAAACAAGATGTAACTTGCTTCTCATAATTGATCTCACTAAAATTTNTCCTAATTGGCTGATTGGGTTCTGATCAAAAAATTCTTCTATAAATATCTCTAGTAGCTAAAAAATAAATACAAAATTATATTACTGTGACGATTATTAAAATAATTTTAGGTGAAAGTACCTTAAGTGTACATAATAATCGCGTGGGCTTTAAATCTTGATTGGACATTGATTCTGAACAATCTATGATAAGGAAAACATGTCGCATCATACCAAGTTTTGTATTAGCTTTCTTTTGAGCTTGCCTCTTACGTTTTGCTCTTTGAATAATATCTGCAACGGATGCTTCCAAAAATCCTTCATCATCTTCCTTGATGGCTTCCCTGTTTCATGTTTATTTTAAACATTTAATCAATCACAAAATTTATAATTTTTAAATTTTTTTGCTTACCATGTCTTTTCATAGCCAGTTTCCCAACGATACTCCTTCGGTTCATCTTCCTCTGCCATATTTAACTTATAAACTATAATTAAAATTTTTATTAAAAAATTAATAAGACGATTTAAACGTACCTACACCTTCCTATTAAGTTTCAGGTTATGTTTAAATAATTAACAATTAACAGCATAAAACTATTATAGAAATAGATATTATGTTTAAAAAAAAGTGCAAAATTCAAAATTTAAAATCTATTAACTTAATTGTTTAAATCTTCCTTCTGCTACATTATAATTAGAATATTTGAAGTTGAAACGGTTATGTGAATAATTTGAAGTAAAAAGACAACGCGCCACAATACAGATGGCAGCATAGTAGTTCATGTTAAGTACGCTTGTTTGGAAGTTTCGCTTTAGCAGTGAATTTCAGGTATTTTGAGGCATATTTTAATGCATAATTTGTTATAAATTGAAAAATATTGTGCAATTTTCCTGTAACACTAAATTGTTTATAGTTTTATGTAAGTGGGTTTTATGTGACAGTTGATTTTTGGAATTCGACAAACCGACCATTTTGTGAACCTTCCTCGTTTATTTATTCGTATTTCCATAAGCATAATGTAATGGCGCTAAATACGAAGTTTATCATTAAGTCAAATATTCTTAAAAAATGAATTTACTGATATAATATTAACATATTATTAAATATTTAAGTAGCGTTAGTGCTTCGTATAGTTTTCATTCGTTTTAAAAATTAAGGCTTTTAATTCTCTGCTGACAGTACCACGATAATGGAAGAAGAAGAAATCGCCGACCCGCTAGATATAAACAAGGATGCTGCACTAATAAAAGGTTAAATTTTGAATTTTTGAGTCAAGTGCATTATTAGTAAGTGTTTATCTTATAGAGGCTCAGAATGATATTGGAAAACTTGATGTTCTTGTTTGTGGAAAATGTCACGAGGTGTTTCATTATATTGAAGAATTCCAAGATCATCATGATAAATGCGATGAAGTATCTTTTATAAGAGATAATTACAAGTATGAACCCAAGACACAAGTGTGGGCCTTTATGTTATGGAAAAATGCTCAGTTTCGTAAAAGTAAAGAGAGTGCAAGGTACAGACCAAATTCAACTTCATGGGCTGTTTATCAAAAGTGGTGCAAACTTGATTTGGAACAGAAAAAGGCTTGGATTAAAGCTGCAGATTTCATTCAAAATAATACAAAGATAGCTACTGCAAGATTGCAAGAAATAAGAACAAAACCTTTAGTATGTTACTTTTCTTTTTTTAGAAGCAGTTACTAATTTAGTGCAAAAATTTCAGTTTGCTGATAAAAAGAAAATAATTAAACCTGCAATTTCTGTTGGCTCAACTCCGAAAAAGGAAGATCCTTTAGAGGAAGGTGAGATACGTAAGTGTTTTCTCTTATTTTTATAAATTTGGCGGGATTTTAGGTTATATATGAACATTTTATTATCGAAATGTTAATGTTGATATTTTAATTATGGATATTGATAGAAGTAATTTGTTAAGTGTCGGTATGCACAACGAAGGAAAAATTGTACAGTTCTACTATCTTTTTACATACTTACTCTCTTTTGAAAATAATTGATTAATTGCAGGAAGAAGTGCAAGTGTTTCTTTTTTAATTATTTAATTATTTGTCCACAGTGTGAAAACTGCATGCTTAAGATATTTATACTTTTTGTTTAAAAGAATTTACTTCGATACAAAAATAGACTTTATTGTTTCAAAATTAAAATAACAAGTTCTGCTAAAACAAGTAAGTTGTTTGTGCTGATTTCATTCATATTTTTTGGAGAACTTAAAAAAATACTAGGAGTGAATGAATGAATGAATATTTCTAACCACTTCAAACAAAAACCAATAATTAGTAATTTAAATATAAAATGTGTGTGCATTTATTGAGTGCCTACTTAATTCAGGTCTTAAAGTTCCGCCTAAAATCAAATCTAATGAGCGAGATCCATTGGAAGGTGTTGATATAAGAGCTTCTGAATCTGATTTAGATACAGAGGAAGAAGTAGAAAGAGAATTGGCGAGGATTCATGGAGAAACAGAAGTGCCCAAGACCGATAAGAAAGCTTTCAAACCCGTTCAGTTAAACAGTGATGTAACAATTTTACCCAGCACAAGGGTGAGTATTCATATCTTTTTCGATAACGCTTCCAAATTGTCTACTAAATCAAGTCCTTAAAAAAGGCCCTTAGAACAAATGCAAATACACAAGAGAAACCTGAAGAATATGTCGTTGAAAAAATTTTAAGCAAAAGATTCAATCCACGCAGAAGGACGTTTGAATATTTCATAAAATGGGAAAACTTTGACAGGTAGTAAATTAATTTTTTTTTTTTTCATTATTAATTATATCCAACAATAAATCCTTTTTGGTTTTTATTAAAATATTTGAATATGTTGATGTAGTTCGCAAAATACTTGGGAGCCTGCTTCCCATCTTGACAGTTGTAAAGCTATGGTCGAGGAATTCGAAGAAAATTTGCGAAAACAAAAGGCTGCTAAAGCTGCAAAAGCAGCATTAGAAAGAAAAAGTTCATTTATGGAAACGTTTGAAAGAACACCTGGAGGGTATGTTATTTATTATCAATTGTATGTTGTTGTATAAATGTTTTTTTTTTTTTACTTAGCCGTCCTCAAAGAACAAGCAAGCAAAAAGCTTTGAAGCAGGTAAAATCATGGTGTGGAGACATATCTGAGGGTGATGAAGGTTCACTCAAACGAAAATCTTTTAGTGATGACGACTCAACTGATTCATTTGAAAAAAGGATGAAAATGGAAGAAGAAACAGACACATCTGAAGATGAAAGGCCTGTTGTAACTATTAGAAAAGTGCAATCGAAATCACCTGGTTCAATTAATGGAGTCGCTAAGAAACCCGAAACAACTATTATACCAGAAACAAAAATAATTCGGTTAAGTGAAAAACAATTACCAGGTCTTAGTTCAGGTGTATATGTCATGTCAAAAACAGAAGGAATAATAAAATTAGATTCAGCTACGCCAGGAAAAGGCGGAACGGTTATGAAAGTAACACCTAAAATTGGTCAAACAAGAATTAAAGTTGTTAAAAAAGATGATGGAAGTACTAGTAATATAGTCAAAGTAACACCAAGTATGGTTCAAAAGATTAATCGTAACATTGTAAAACGGGAAATCACGATACCAGTAAAACCATCAGGCCAATCGGGAAAAGGGGGAATCACAGTCTCTACGATAAAGAGAGGAGAAGGAGGTATCAAAATGAATATTATCGAAAAACCAAAAGTAGAAAAAATTGTAGAATCAGAAGAAGAATCAGATGGTTTAGAAGAGCTTGAATTTCCCACAGATCTTCCTTTACCAGAACCTGATAGTCCTCCAGGTGAATTCACGTTGGATCCGTCGACTGGAAAGTTATTGGGACAAAAAACTCCTTCACCACCTCCTGAACCAGAACCAGAACCTGAACCCAATGTACAGATGTTATCTTCAGAAACCGATGCCACTTCTGACAGTCCTAGTTTAGATAATTTAGTGAAACTAGCCGCAGCCGACTTAACCGAAGAAGATCTTAAACCAGTTGATAACTCTCACACCTCGGGAACTGGCACATCGTCTCTTGCTTCTGCCACAGTCGTTCTAGATGACTCTCTTAATTTAGAGAACACTAACCTCACAAGTGGCGAATCACTTATTTCCTCTGATACATCAAAATTAATGGATTCGTCGAACACCTTATCTTCGGTGCCAGCAACATCGTCTGAATCTTCAATCGAAACTATGCCACTATCTGTCAAGGAGAATGCTTTAAAAGCACCTAAATCGCAAATATACTCTATTGTTCCGAATTCGGGCTCCAGTTCATCTATACTGAGTACCGCCCTAAAAAATTCCAACATTAAGGAAAGTCAGCCGGTTGCCCCTGGACAAAAAAGGCTTATTAATACACCACACACAATTCGTCAGAAAGTGAACGTTCCAATGTCACATCAGCAACAACAACCGCAACGAATGTCTTATATTAGTCGCGTTTCTCAAAAGCCTGCTTCTACCCCCACATATATACAGAAAGTGACACCAGGACGACCCCCTGCGGGAGGTCGTGGTGGTAGAACTTATATTCAGAAGACCCCTGCAGCATCATCGTCTCACGAACCATTTTTAAAAAGATCCGCGAACGTAAACACTTATCGGAACACGACAAGAGGAAATGCGAGTGTTGCCAGGAAAATTGGCCATACAACTATTTATAGGACAACGCCCGTAACTCAAAATGTGGCACAAACGCTCGTTCCAGCATCGTCATCCACGATAAAATCAGAAGAGACGATAATTTTGAATGCCGATTTAAGTGAAGAAGACATAGCAATAGAACCACAAGTCATCCAACAGCAGCAACAACAAATACCACAACAACAGCAACAGCAGCAAGGAACGGTAATTAGCATGCCCTTATTAACTGACGAAGAGTCAAATCAGTCTGAACTAACGGCTGTAACGACCACCGAAAATGCCACCGCGTTGGTAACAGCTTCTACTGATGAAACGGCAACTCTGATGGATGTTTCAGGTTTTGCACTTGCCGAGGGTGAAACTCCTATATTTATAACGGGTGAAGATGGTACAATTTATCAAGTGGCTGGGCAAAACGAAGATGGGCAGACAGTGCTGATTACGCAAGGCCCAGACGGACAGCAACAATGCGTGCTTGTGGCAACAGACGGTTTAACAGAAGAAACGCAATCAGTGCAAGTTACGGAAGTTACCGAGGATGAAACGACGGACGTGAATAGCCAGCTCGTTGTCAACACGGATGACACGCAGATAGAAGGGATTGATAACGGGGAGGAGTCGCAGGTTGTGGCGCAAATTGTAAAGGCCGATCCTCCTAGTCCAGGTAAGTGGGTTTTTTTATAGTTTTATAAAAAAGAAGGAAATTAAACCCACCATTTGAATTGGGCTTTCTAGATACTTATTAATTATTTTTTTACAAATTGATGAACTTTTTTCCAGGTGGAACAAGAAAAGTTGTTCTTATGCTCCCTGATGGCAATCTGATGATGACTGATGTTACAGCAGAGCAGTACGCTGCATTAGAATTAGATAAATAAACATTTTGTCATAAAATGTAACATTCAAATTGTGTTTTTTCCTTATTTTGTCGTGTTTTGTATTTATAATTCACATAATATTTAGGGTATGTGTAACGCGCAAAACAACAAGGTATTGCTGCTAATGGCGATATGTTATTGATTTTGTTAGATGATCCCTTTTCCATTAATGTATAAATTGTATTACAAAATATAAAAGGTATCTGTAGGTATCTTTAGTTTGATAATTTTTCTACATAGGTAGAATAAAATAAAAGTTGAACATTTTATCCGGATTTTATTTGTTTCTTATTTTTATCTAATAATATATTCGTCGGTAACTAAATGGGAAAAATAAAGAGAAGAAACCGCTTGTTGTTTGTATAATGATTACTAAGTAACAATTTCGTTTATAGATTTAAGCAAGTAGCTTATGGTAAACTGATAATGCACATAAACTTATTGAATGTATGTAAAAACATGTTCTTACATGCTTTTCTATATCAGTGAATTGTTTCTGGCAACCAAAACAAGATGTAACTTGCTTCTCATAATTGATCTCACTAAAATTTGCTGCTGGAAACAGGTGATGATATGATCTCGCCAAATGGGGGGCAGAAACCAACGTTAATCCACACGCTTTACATTCAACAGGTAGTTCACAATATTTACTGCAACACTGAGGACAATAATAACCACCTGTAGATAACTTACTGCCCTCATCAACACTATCAACATGACTAAAAAATATTTATTGTTTTACTAGGATACAAATGCAATGTATAGTTGATGTTTGAGAATCCATACACACCACATGCACATTGTTAGTGGTTCTTCCACCCCTTCTATAACCATTTGATGGGGAAATCCCATCTTAATAAGACTAGATTCCAGACAAGTGGCAGCAGGTGGTGGCTCAACATGTTGTAACAAAAGATCTTTATAGTGACAGTCATCTAATATAACATTATAGACACCACCTGTTTGATTTGATAAACTACGGCATACATGCACTTCAGCAGCTAAACCAATCACAGAGCATCTAACTCCTTCTGATTTCAGGGCCTAAAAATTATTACCTGTAGAAGTTAGGCAAAAGTTAAGCAATCAGGAAAACTGAAAATTAAGTTTACACATTATTATTAATACACTATCCATAATTTTCCAAATTTTGCTATTTTTGATTTAATTTTATACAAATGAAATCAGAACAAATGTATGTGACAAAATGCACAATTTTAATATCTGAAACAAAGATTGAAAATAAAAAAGCTGTTATACTGAAGGTAGAAGTGAAAATCAGTACTGGAATGTCTTTTAGAGTTGTTTAGTTTAAAAGGAGCTATTTTGTTCACAAAAATTCAAGATGATTTTTTGGGAACCAGAAGAAATTACTGAGGACTAGAATCACTTGGTTAACAATTATTTTGTTAATAGTTACTTATTCAATAAGCAGTATAAGGAAAAGTAGAAATAGTTGGATAATAAACCTTTTCTACTTAACAACAACCACATACTACATAAGAAGGTGTACTTTCTACATTACTACTATTAGATGTATAAAAAAAAAAACAAAACCTTACATCAATTGTAACAGTAATATCACCAGGATCACAAGTTGTTAAACCACCCATTATTACCAAAATTTCTCTGCTAGCATGACTTGGTAAGAGTTTTAACATTTTGAATGCCATATCTAAACCATTCTGAAGCGAAGGTTCCCCAATCAAAGAAGTATGACTTAAACTTCTTACAGCTTTTAAATGTTTATGGTGATTACCTGCCAAGTCACTTATCTTTTCTGACCTCTTATTTTGCATTATTAAAATTCCTAATTGGCTGATTGGGTTCTGATCAAAAAATTCTTCTATAAATATCTCTAGTAGNTTAAGTTCCTATTATCGCGTGGTCCTGTATGAGCTGTGTCCCCGTGATTTATGACTACTTACATCAATGGTACCGTCATATCGATCACCGCTTGCGGCATTCGTTTACAACAATATTAATATGACTTCATCCAATTTTTTTAACGTCATAAATTTTTTATCTTTTAGATAACAGTAAAATGTACAGTTACACGACAAATGATATTAAAATGCGTGAAACAGATGATAGAATTACCAAAAGAGATAGCAATTGTGCATCCATTAATAGTTTTTCAACGAGACTATGAGCAACAAGTAACATACAGCAGTTGATTAATTACTTTTTACTATTCAAATAAATTCTTATTTTATTCAGCTAGTGCCACTGATGTTAGAAGTTTTATATCCTCAAATGAAGGTGCTACCCTCAGAACTAAATTTTGGCGATGTTGTTATTGGAAACACAATAAAGAAGTCAGTAACTGTATTAAACTGCAGAGGTAAACCTTTCGAATTAGAATAACGTTAGATAGTACCAAAAAGTGACGTCACTGTTTATAATAAATAATTTTCAAATGTTATTTCAAGCAAAAGAACTAAACATAAGAGTAGTATCAGAATCAAAATGCGGGGAATTTGTCGTTCTTCCTCAACAAGCAACTATAGGGAAAGCAACAAGTGGTGGTAATGCATACGTTCTTTTATTCATCTATTTTACTCCAAGGTACAAAATACGGTCTCACTATTTCAAGTATTCCGTTTTTTATTAACAAATACTACAATGGCAGGGACACTTTGGAATATCACCAAGTGATTGAGGTGCACACTCCTATTCCAAACTATAAAGACGTAATAACAATGTCCGGTTTTGTGGTAAACTGATAATGCACATAAACTTATTGAATGTATGTAAAACAATAATAATAAGTGCAGAAGTTCTTTGTAAAATATACTTTAATTTTTTTATTAAATGATTACATAATAACTTAATAGTTTTATAAAAATTATATCAATAGTGGCCGTTTCCTAATAAGCATGTAGGTATTTACCCTGCATACGTTTCACCTAACGCGCCGCACGAAAATAAAGTTCTTTTCAGACACTCCTAACTGCAGCGTTATCCAGAATTATATGATATGTAAAAAGTTGTGAAACACTACCGAAATACCTATTCTGTAATATTGTAACTTTTGCTACCATTTTTATAATTAATATGAAAATTCATTTACTTTTTATCCACTACAAATTATCGTACATTAATAAGGAAAAATTCGAAAGTTATGAAATGGTGTTAAAATTTAATATGAAAATAATTTAAAAGCACTGTTGGTATTTCACTAAAAATCAGGGTAGATCACTCGCTAAATTTTAGAAATGGAATATCTGTGAATTAGTAAGAACCGATTAAGTTATTGTTCAGTAATTTATCGAAACTATCAGACGTGAGTTGTGATTTAGAACTTTTTGATCTCCCCCATACTCCATAGGCAGTCTCTATAAATCACCCACCAAGCTGAAGATGCCCAAAAAACAATCAAATACTAATGCTTGAGGCTGACAGTCCCCGTGGACTATGCCGGGAGTAGGGCGGGAGATTTCAGCTTCCTTTTCGAAATACTTGTTAGAAGCAATTATCAGTTTAAATATAAACAATGTTTCTTCCAAATTGAAATTTTAACAAAACTTATGAACGTGTAAATGTTACTCTTAATTTAAAATGAAATGAAACTTATGGTACCACGACTATATTTGTCGTGTTTCGCAGTCTTTTTAAATCTAAAATCTTAGAAAGCGTCATCAATTTATTGATCAATTAACTAAGTAACACAAAAAATAAATATAAATGTAAGCAATTACTGCTTGGCGATGCGACAAGGATACATTCTGGAAGTATAATGACGAAATTAGAAAATTAGAATTTTTGTTTGTTACAAATTGGCACTATACTATCTATCAAATTTTGCCTCATATATATAGTGAGGGTACATTTTTTGTTTCTAATAAGAATTTTTTTACTTTTTCGTATACGGTGTATCGCGAGAAATTCCTGTGCAATAATCAAATTAAACATCAAAAGAAAATTATAGATGTAAAAGTTTACAAATGATTAAAATGTTTATACAAGTATTTGTACAAAAAAGTATGAAATAATGAAGTAGACTACAGAAGAGTGCCTTTGGTCCACAAAAAAGACACCATCGAACCTGATTTCAATAAATCAGTTTTAAGAATTCGTAGCATAAATGTAATTACTACATTCCACTGATTAATTAATAGGTTGTTTTAGAAGAATCACAAATCAAGTTGGTCAGTTTTTATTTTCTGCTAATCAGTTTTAGAATTTGATGAATATGCCAAAAAAATGGAGTCTTTTCCCTTAGTTCCTTCTAATTCACCAAAAGAAAATCCGGACACTTTGCATGTTTTACGTGAAGTGTTTCAGGGGTTCATTACGCAGGATGATTTTCCCATAAACATTGCCAAAAATATAACAAAGCAAAATATCAGTGACCCTCTTGTTAAGGAAATTGGGGAAAATGCATATAATGTAAAATATTAAAGATTGAAAGATACGTAGGTATGCATTCATATGTATTTATTTTCATAAAGATATACCAAGATACGCAAACGGAAATAGCAGAAATTACTAAAACCGAAGAAAATATTATGCTAACTCATGGAAAATTACTCATTACACAGGATGCGATTGAGAAAGATAAGTGCCTTATGGAAAGCCTAAAACTGAAAAGAGTAAATATGTTGTCATCATTAGATGAAGAAAGTTTAGCAAAATTTCCACTACTCCAGAAGGCTGACATTTTTCCTAATAAAATAAAACGGTGTATAGGTATGAACTGTTTTAATTTCATTAACGAACACGTAAATTAAGTATTTAGTTATAGTTATTAAGGAAAACAGATTTCAGATTTTATCAGAACGAATGTGAGCATATGTGCCAACACGCTAAAGACAAGTGCTCGAATAAAATTGAGAAATGCAAGCCTAAATCTTCCAAGTTTAATAAAATAAAAAAGACAAACAAATTTCTAAAATTTTACGATCGTGATATCAATAACTTCACACCCAAGCAACTTGTTAAATTTACAAAATTTTTAATGGTCAAGGATCCTGAGCAACTCTTTAAACTACCAAAAATTGAAAAAAGGTTTGCTAATCGATTTTTATTTATTGGTATATTATCAACACCGTTTTTTAGAAAATACGAATGCCAAACTATTTTTATAGCAGTTCCAGAAACCATAGTCTTTCATAACTATAAAGTGAATATACCTTATGAGGTAATAGTTGCTTGAACATCAATTTGCGATCTCAATTTTAAAGTATTTCTTTTTCTATAAGAAAAAATTTAAATTGCAAAATGTATCGTCGTCAATGCAATCTTTTATTCCGCAAGAGATGTCTAGAAATTCTCACTTCAAGCTTCACTTAACTTCGGATTCATTAAGAATCGCTCCAGGAATGTGTGCTACCTTTAAAGTGTCTTTTAAAACTGATACATATCAAGATGAACGTCGAACAATAACATTTAGGACATGTAAAGGATGTGATGTTACAATTAATTTAATCAGTTTTAGAAATTCGCCAGTTCTTCATGCTTATGTTTATAGATTACTAGATGATTACTATAATCGTACAGGCTCTTCATCATCCCTTCAACAGAATTTTAATGCAGCTAGAGCAGCTGCTTTAAATTCTACTATAGATTGTGGTAGTTGTCTTTTAGGTACTGGTTTATTTTTAAATGTAATTTTACACAACGAAGGGGAGAGTGGTTCTTTTTTCTTAATGAGCGAGCAAGATTGGTACAATTATGAAGTTAAGGTATTACCGTATGCGGATCTTTGTGTACGCGTACTTCTGATTACAAAAATTTAACTGGGACTTTTAGGATGTTAGCGATTGCATGATTTTATCTACACCTAGTTCTTTTCAAATTTATCCCACTTATTTTCATATCAATAAATACGAGTTGGTGGAGCTTAGTGTGGTGTTCTTCCCCTTGTCTAATGGATTACAGACCGAGAAAATTTTTATGCTTTGCGATAACACATCTATTGAAGAAATAGAATTAACCGGTGATGGGATAACTTTTGATGAAGATTTTATCAAGTTGGAGGTAGAACTCAAAACGAAATTAAGTTTTTAAATTTTTTTAGTCTTTCTCTAGATTCCAGAAAAGTTAACTGACTTTTCTCTATTTATGGACGAAGAATCAACTTATTACATTCATTTTGGAAACACTCTGCCTTTTATAACCCATATTAAAACATTTACCATCCATAATTTGAGGTAAACTATGCTCATATACGTATGTAGTGAAGCATACTTAATAATGACTGGTAATACTGTAGTTCTTTATTCATACACTTTCGATGGAAGTTTAGAAAAAGTAATAATACATCCCCTGCTACTATTTTGGAAAGAATAGAATCTGACTGGGCGGAAATTACTCCAAAGGAGGGAGTACTGACGCCAGATAACGCGCAAGAATTTCAAATAAAAGTTTTCGTAAATAAGTACAATCCAGGACTGTATAGCGCCGTCTTTTCGTAAGCATACGAAAGAGCTCTTTTTCTTTTTGATTAGGAATATTTTTAGCTTCTACATATTGAATATACCGCAATCTAGTCTAAGATCAAACTGGAACTTTACCGTAATTGAAAGGGACTTAGTTCAGCATGGTCCCTATAAGTCGCAAGTACGCTGTTTTTTTTTTAATTGATTGTTGTAAGTGTAATGCATGTTGAAACTATATTTTAATGCACTCCAGCAAAATAAGACAAAAAAATTTCAAAAATAACTGTTTTGATGTTAGGTGGCATTTATACTAAAACTTTGTGGTAGGGATAGCGATTTAGAATATTATTATTCATATATTTACTTGGTCAGTCATTTTCTCATTTATTTGAGGTAACGTATAGTGGCCAAAAAATTGAGAATAAATATTCAAATTAAAAGTCATAATCATATTTATTTTTTGCGAGAAAAGTATAGTTAATCTCATTACTTTTTATAGTATGTTGACATTATTAGAGCCGAAGTCGAGATGGTTTTGAATATAGTGACTCTAAGTCTAGTAATTGTGCCCTGCCCTTATACGTCTCCGGTTATTTTAGGGTTCGTTTGATTAACAAACGGTACATTAAGGCAGATATATATTAGAATGCATTACAGGTTTAATGATTTACATAAACATGAAATTATGCTGTATACCGAGGACATTTTTCCGTTGAAATGTGAATGGCTATCGAAAAATAAATCTGAAGGCACTTGTACCCAAATTTCTCCAAGTATATTTACAATATATCCCAACGAAGTAACCACTTGTGAATTAGTAATATTCGTGAGAAGTTATGAAGATATTAAAGAAAATCACACGTACATAGTCATTTCTTAACTAATTTCCTTTATAATATGCGTTTAACTATAGGGCNGATTTTAAAATATGAATTCTGTATAATTTTAAATAACGCATTTAATGCTTATTCGTAGTCTATCGATTAATAATGGCAGTTTTACCAAAGAGTATGAAGTTTTTGTTAAAGTCGGTAAACCGTACGCGAAATTTTCAAGAAGATTAATTAATTTTGGTCCGTGCATAATTGGAAAAGTATTTACGGAGGAGTTTTGTGTAACAAGCTCAGAATGTACGGAAATTAAATGGAAAATTTTGGAGTATCGGTATGATCAGGATAAAAAAGGGATAATTAAGTTATCCGACTTGAATCATTTGTCGCAAACTGAAGGTGTGCTTAACAAAAATCGAAATACACAGACTATTACTTACTCGATGTCACACCAAGTAAGTTTATTTTACATCTATGTACATGTTTGAACGTTTTTAAACAACAACCAACAACAGAATTAAGAAATGTAATTGAAGAATTTGATCAAAAATTTATCAAAACTACTAGACATACATCGCCATTTCGAACTTATTAGCTCTCATCATCACGCCATTGGCAACTGCTGTAAATTACCAACAAAACTGTAGCTACGCCGTAAAATTATAGATAATTTAACTATTAGAATTTCTTTAACTCATTTTGCCTCAAAAGCATTACAAATCGTTATTTTTTGACTTATTTCTCGGTTAGTAAATCATAAAAGTTCAGTTTTATTTAATTTTTAGACAGATGCTGTTTGGTTATCTTTTCTTGTTCTTCTAACGTCTGCTGCAAACATGAAAACGGTCAGTTCGACTTGTTTTATAACTTACGAAATTATATCGCCCCGTTTAATAATACATTCTTCAACGTCTGAAGGGGCATTAATATGTCCTTCCCATCTTTTATACATAAATAATACTAAGACGTATCCCATATGCTTGCACAATGATGGTTATGTACCAGCAACTTATGTATGGGGTGTACCATACGGGAAAGACGTCCACGCCTTTAAAATAAATTTTGGTCCCCGATGGGGAAAAATAGAACCGCAAAGTTGTAACCACATTAAGTTTAGCATCACGCCCATAGCAAATGGTATTTTTAAAGTTATGGTACCTTGCTTTATAGGAAAAATAAAAAAACCGTTAGTACTTACGATAATTACTAACACGAGTAATATTTATGTTTATATTCATTTACCTGAAGTTAATGGTTCATACAAACAAGTTTTGTGGCCAGTGAATTTCGAAGATTACGAATACGGGACGATGGTGAGTAAAATATTCCCGTGCTAAACCTTTGATTGCTGATTTTCGTAGCCTTTTCCGGGTGTCGTTAATTAAGAACTCTTGCTTGGTTTGAACCTTGCAACAACGTTTGTTGATAAATTATCTGCTGAATTATTTTTTTCATTAAAAGGGAGAATGTGTATGTTTTCCAAAAGAAATGTACGACATATGTAAAGATGTGAAAATTGAAGATGTTCGTTTGGAAGAAGTAGGCGAAGAACGTCCGATTGATGGGCAAATGCCTCCCATGGACTATAATGTAAGAGATCACCTCATAAACTATAACGACGATTTTATGGAGGAGAGTCCTGTTGCACCAATACCTTGCACTCCTAGTAGTTCAGTTACAACCTCCGAAACAGAATTAGATGTTTATCCCATTACAAGAGAAAAATTAAAGGAAATGTTTGGCGAAAATGTTGTTTTGAGAGATCACATAGTCGAACTAAAGAAAGTACCTCACAGAGTACCGTATCAGACAAGTGTAAAAATAGAAAATCTCACTCCATTACTTGGTTGCGCAACAGTTAAAACTGTAAATTTTTTTCCTGTTAGACGTGAAGACGAATGCAATGTAGAATTGTTAATGAACAAATTAAATTTGGACAAGTTTAATAAATGGGATGAAATAATGGGAAAAGATTTCGGACTTGTGGTAAAAGCTGAGCCCACTATTGTCAAACTGAAACCTACGGAAATGACAAATATTGATTTATTTGTTTACGGGGACACTTGGGGAACATATATAGAAGAAGTGGTTATAGAAATTAATGACGTTAGATCGTTCTGCTTTACGTTGATTATTGAAATCGTGGGGTTCCCGGTGGAATATCCACTTGCTGTGAATTCAATTACAAAATACCCGACCATCAGGTTTGGAAGAGTCTCTTACATTTCCGAGCCTGTAGTTAAATTACTGAAAGTAACAAACACCAGCTCGGTGCCAATATTTATAAAATGGCACACTTTCGAGGCTCCGTGCAAATACGAAAAATTACCCTTCAACGTAATTTTTGACCTTTTTGACGACAACAATTCAAATACGAGAGGTGAAATACATTTAACAAATCAGTATCATGGAATTGAGAAATCAGATAAGTTTGAGGTAACTTAAAACGTACTTATAATGATAAAATTTATTCTACTTTTACATTGTTTCATAAAAGCTTCAGCCCTGGGAACTCCATTTACCCCCCAAATCTACCAGTTGTGTTAAAATTAGCCTTGACCCCAGTACTATCAACATAAATGACTTTAAAGAAAAACAGGAGTTTTGGTTAATTGGACATTTATATGTAACCGACCAATATAGGTAAAAATTAAAAAGTTCCACTCACAATTATCACACTTTATTTCTTCTGTAGTTTTTACCCAAACATGTGCAGAAGGAAAACCGATGTAGAATTCCAGGCAACGAAAGTAAATTTACATGCAGTCATTGAAATTCCATCACTCAAACTTCAAAATGTGGAAGACGAGCTTAAATTCCGTATTTACGCAACCGATTCGATAGAAAACGGAGTAAAAACGATAAGCAGAAAGTTTTTATTTAGAAATGTTAAACAGTCGGATTTCATTATAACAAGAGCATATGTGAACAAACCATTTCACATTGTTCAACTGGAATCTGAATTTGGAAAGACAAATGAGAAGGACAATATTTTTTTAACCGTCCCGCCAGGAGGTTGTGTAGAGGTAAGACTTAAACAACATAAAATTCATGCCATAAAATATTTATAGTTTTATGGATTCATATCTCACTATTTACTTCTTTCGCTCACGCACTGTTTATTATCGACTATTCATACGGTTACCGGACATTTCTGATTATTTCCGGAAACTTCTTTTAAGTTCCTATTATCGCGTGGTCCTGTATGAGCTGTGTCCCCGTGATTTATGACTACTTACATCAATGGTACCGTCATATCGATCACCGCTTGCGGCATTCGTTTACAACAATATTAATATGACTTCATCCAATTTTTTTAACGTCATAAATTTTTTATCTTTTAGATAACAGTAAAATGTACAGTTACACGACAAATGATATTAAAATGCGTGAAACAGATGATAGAATTACCAAAAGAGATAGCAATTGTGCATCCATTAATAGTTTTTCAACGAGACTATGAGCAACAAGTAACATACAGCAGTTGATTAATTACTTTTTACTATTCAAATAAATTCTTATTTTATTCAGCTAGTGCCACTGATGTTAGAAGTTTTATATCCTCAAATGAAGGTGCTACCCTCAGAACTAAATTTTGGCGATGTTGTTATTGGAAACACAATAAAGAAGTCAGTAACTGTATTAAACTGCAGAGGTAAACCTTTCGAATTAGAATAACGTTAGATAGTACCAAAAAGTGACGTCATTGTTTATAATAAATAATTTGTTGTTATTTCAAGCAAAAGAACTAAACATACGAGTAGTATCAGAATCTAAATGCGGGGAATTTGTCGTTCTTCCTCAACAAGCAACTATAGGGAAAGCAACAAGTGGTGGTAATGCATACGTTCTTTTATTCATCTATTTTACTCCAAGGTACAAAATACGGTCTCACTATTTCAAGTATTCCGTTTTTTATTAACAAATACTACAATGGCAGGGACACTTTGGAATATCACCAAGTGATTGAGGTGCACACTCCTATTCCAAACTATAAAGACGTAATAACAATGTCCGGTTTTGGTGTATGGGATACCCGATATCTTGTTGAGACAATTTAAACAATGAGGGATTTATATAATAAAAATTCCAAAATAATGGGGACATTTTTATTGATAACTACCGTTTTACAAAACATGCTATGAAAAAACCAACCGAATCAATGTCACAGTCGGAATCAAATCTTTGAAGACATGAAAGTTGCTCATCATTTAAGCCATTAACGAAAAATCCTCTAGTGCCAAAGGAGTTTTCGACTTTTACAAGTTTTAAAGAAGAAAATTTTTTTAATGCCCATGCAACAATTTCTTCATTTTCGGCTACGGTTATTGTACAAGTGCTATACACAAGAGTGCCACCTGGTTTTAATAAATTTGCAGCCTATGAACAAATTGTGTACCTCAATATACATGTAATCAACAGTCAACACTATTTATTAATGTAATTTTATTTTACAAAATAAACGATTCCTAAACTTATAAAATTTTAATAAAATCGTAGTCAGCTATATTTAATTTTTTTGTAAATGAACAAAAATTAACAAAATAAACACATGTTCAAATGTACACATGTAAGACACTAATTTTTTAGCAACTACTAGTAACTACACGATCAAAACAACTTCGCCTTAGTTGATATGATTGGGGAATTACCGAACATGTATGTGTACCGGAGATTTACAAGAATGGAGCAACATCGATTTTTAAGGCCAATGAACTTTCGTTTCTATATTTTATTTCGTTTATTTTATTCGCGGTTTAGCATAATTAATATGTCAGTCACATTATTGGGTTATAAATAATATTCAATAACTATCATATCTAAGTAAAATTACTCAAATAACAGCAATATATTTAATAGTATATAATCACTAAAACTTACCACTTCAAATAATTTTCTTTGTAGTGGTACAAAAGACTTGAGTGTATTATTATTAATTTTACATGGAAATTGAGGTCTTTTCCCTAGAGCACTACAAGGAGCATCCAAAAGTATTTTATCAAACGATTCCCCACAAAAAGGGGGACCACTGACAACACTTTTAGATTCATCCAAAGTTCCATCAAAGATTTTTGTTGAATCTGCTTGAAAAATGTGTACATTTGTATTAAATTTATTGCAATTTGTTCTAAGACGTTCTATTTTCGATGGAGTTTTGTCAATTGCTATTAAAGTAGCCTGGAAAAAATTTTACCAATTAAGAAGAAAACGATGGCTTTTTTATTATAAGTGCCTTATTTTTCATTAAGTTGGCAATATGGGTAGTTTTATTGCCAGGGGAAGCACACATATCTAAAATCACATCGTCATGAGTAGGATTTAATGTACGAACACAAATAACTGACGGAATATTTTGCAATAAAAACGAATTTTCAGGTAATACATCATATTCATTTAACGGCAAACATCCAGATATTGTATCGGTTATTTCAACAGCTATCCCTCTAAAATAATTATCTTATTATTAAAAAGGTAAATGTAGCAGTCAAAAATTAATTTCTTACGTTGGATTTAAATTGGCGCCAAAAAGTTGATGTCTCGACATTTTGCAAATTCCATTACCGATAAATATTTTTTTAGGACACTCATATAGTTTATTCAACCCTCTTTTACATTTTCCGCTTACATCGACGTATATACTGACTTTATCATTCACTTTAGTACCTTGTAAAAATTAGAAAAGAA